GTTAGATATTGTTTATATATTATTTGATATTGTTAAGATATTGTTAGATATTGGTAACCACAATATCAAACAATATCTTCTCGTTTATTCTCGTTACTTTCAGCTTACTCTTTTAGTTGTATTTCTCTACTATAAATAGACCACTCCTATGTGTGATTTATACACAAGGGAAATTAATTCCAAACTATATTTTCTTTATATTCAACGAGACACCATGATATCAAAAAAGAATAAATACAAAATATCTCCAACTTAGATACAATAACAATAATCTCCTCTTCTAATGCATCAAATTTTTATGGCAAAAATAAAATAAAATTACACAATGAAGTTGTAGTTTGTCTCACATTTTTTTAGCAATATTCCATGAATAGTTACATGCAATAATTGTTACATGAAAATATAATAAATATGAGACTTAGACCAACTAGTTTCAATAGAGAAGACTTTTAATATTTAAAGTGGTGAGAATTTTACATTTTTACAAAAACTTATTTTCTCCTTTTTAATAGACAATTTATAATAAGATGGGTAAATATGTGTAACAATGTATAATAAATTATTATAAATTACCATTAATTTCTTATAAAAATAAATCTTTGCTATGATTATTATTAATAATAAACTACATTTAAAGAAACAATTAAAAGATGAAATAAATATAAGTGTAGGTATTGATAGTATATAATAAAATAGACTTCAACCTAAAAATTAGTGTGATTTTTAATATATATAACTGTAGATGCATACTAAAAATTTATACATGTGATAATAATTTATCTAATAATTAATATCAATAATTATGGTTTTAAAATAAGATATTGTGAATTATATTAAATTTAATGAATTTTCTAAAATACACTTATTTTCAAAATTCTTCAGAAGTAACCAGATTAAATAAAATACACTTATATATAATAATAATAATAATAATAATAATAATAATAATTTATATAATAAAATAGACTTATGCGTAAACATTAATGTGATGTTAAATGCTATTCAAGTTTTAATCTACTATATGTACTCGGAAACGTAGGTACTCTTTTAAATAAAATAGACTTGAGCTTATATAGTATAGTACTATATATTTAATATTTTGTGTGTTTGTACATAATACTTAAGTTTTATTTTTAATAAAAAAAATAAGGAGATCAATGAATAATTCAAGAAATTTATGCACATAAATTTTCTATAAAAATATCATAACCAAAATATGTTTTTGTAAATAAGACTTGAGTTTCAGGTTCAATGAAAAATTAAATAAATAATAAAAGAGTTGTAGTTACATACTTTTAATATTTGAAATTTAATAATATATGTTTCAAAGCTAAAACAACTAAAAGATGTATAAAAGAACCTCAGAATAAATTTTAATACTTCGTAATTTAGTAGGATTACAAATTGCAATAAATTTTTTCCATTAAAAATTTCAAATTACTAAATCTTAATTAATTTACTTAATTATATTATCAAATTTACTTAACAAGAATTTGGTATAAGTTGCCAAAGAAGGAGAGTAATGAATAGGACTAGATATCTCCGCATGGACTTCAATATCATCCAGTTTGTGAATTCTCTTTAACCCTTTCAGTATCATTTTCTTTTTAATAAAGATTTTTTTAATGAATCAGGAAATAAATAATATATATATTTTAAATACTAATAACATAAAAACAGAAGAGTAATATCAACAAAGTAAAAAACAAGCATACTAAGACCGTACGTTGATAAATTTTGAGGCCTAAAGCAACTTTTTATAAAATACTTAATTTAATATTATAATTAAATTTATATTAACCTTTTAGTTTCTTTATTTCAGAACCACAATTTGACTATGTCCCTACTCTGTTTTTTTTTTAATTGTCCATTTGATTTACTAATCACAGCATGTAATATTTTTATTTCTTAATTGTATAAAGTGTATATATACTATTGAAATTTTGAAATATAATTAACAACAGTTACAAAGTTGAGACGGTTTTATGAAATCTCTTCTCTTTTTTTTTTTTTCCTTTAATCATCCTCACATGCCCTCTTCAAGAACAGAACTCCACAGTGTACAACCAAGGGATATGGGAAGGTACATTGAGAGTAGATGGACTGCAAAGCTCAAGCAGAAGCAGATCTTTCAAATGCAAGGAAAGAATTAGTTTGGTTAGAGAAGCTGAAAACACTTCAATGAGACTACCATGAAAGAAAGAGCTTTAACAACACAACATAGTTCCTTCTTAACTATCTCAAAATTTGAGTATGAGTTTCTTAAAAATCATGCAGCCACAGCATAAGAAATTGCTGATAAAAGTAGTGGTAACAGAGGCATGGATTAAAGCTCTTTGGGTGGATGAGAAGGAAATGGTGATGGAAACAGAAAAGGCTCGGAGAGAACATACAAGAAACAAAATTGGAGTTAAAGTTGGACAATTGGTGAATAATTGAGGAATTACTGCCCAGTGGGTTATACTAAAAAAATTTGCTGTCAGGATGGTTCATCACTCTCACTTGGTTATACAACGTGGACATAAAGATGAATATTTTAGGATATAATGTGTGAAAAGGTGAACTCAAACTTTAAAGGGGTGAAGATTACTGCAACCAACCCATCCAATATTTTTTTATTTTGCTAATTGTGCTGCGAGAAGTAGGTAAAGAAAGGGTCGATGGGAGGATGACAAAAAATTGTTTATGGAATATCATTCGGCACACAATCACGGAAATAATACATACTAAAAGCACTTTTGAAAAAAGTTGCTTCAGTCGAATGACATATGGCAGCCTGTAGATGTGAAAACAAACACATGAATTATGAATGGGCAGCAAAAGACGTCATTTTGACTATCTATTATTTAGTGTCTTCTTGGTGTGCAATACATTGAAACTTGCTTATGGATAACCTACCAGTGTAAAGTAAGCTTAAGTTGTCAAGGCACAAAGGGGAGAATTGAAAAGAAGAGAGTTATAAGGAGTTTTACTTCTATTGTATTCAAACACTACAACCTTAGTTGATTAAAATAGCTTTGATTGTTTATGCATTATCTTATGCATAATTAACAATAACCTGTGTCCCCCAGGTTACATAACTAGTCATAAAATCGAAACACAACTTCAACAATTTATTCTATTTCGAATTCATATTGGATCAGATCAAAACTTCTTGATAAACTCGTATATGTAATTACTGATTTCCTCGGCTGCTTCTTGATTGTTGAAGTGAGCAACTCCTTTCTGCACAATTACTTCTTCTAAATTTGGCACATCTTCCTTGAAACCTCCACCGTGGATATAATCCTTCGTGTTTAGTGAGGTGTATACCATGTCCAACTCACCTGTGATGAATTTTATTGGCACCTTGATTTGCACTCCACTCCATGGTGACGTCAGCTCCCAATTTCTATAACACATACAAATAATAATTAATTCATGTTGTACAAACATTTCCAAATAATTTAGGGCAGTGGACAACACGGTGAGTCATGAAATTACGAGTTCAAATTCCTGTAGTAGTTCAAGGCTCCAGTGAAACCTGTTTTCTCAAATTTGGAGACATAATAGGCAAGATCTTCTTCTGTGAGCCAAGAGGGTAAAGTGTCGGTCATGTCTGGATTGAATCCAGTTCCAAACTCTCCAGGGGGAAGGATTGGGGGACCAGGTTTGCGAGTTGTGAGAATGTTTTTGAGCACATACTCAGTTCCAACATCAGCCATCTGAGCCTCCATTGCGCCTGGTTTCTGTAACACATTTTAAGTACAGATAGTTTATTCTTCCTCAGTTTCAAAATTACAAACAAAGTGATTTAATCAATTCTATTTAAATAAGGAAAATGAGAGAAATAAGTAACCTGAAATCTGCAGATGTAGTAGTCATCTCCATACACAGCACGCATGCCATCTACCGTTTTGATGTCGGGGTTTCTGCGGAGGAAAGGGACAGAGAGGCAGACATAGGCCTTCACTCTGTCAGGGCGAAACATGCAGAGGTACCAACCTATGAGGGCACCCCAGTCATGAGCCACAAGGAAGACTTGTTGGACACCCAGAGAGTCGATGAGGGCAACGAGATCACCCACTATGTGCAAGCAGTTGTAGCTGCTGATTGAAGGTGGTGCCTCCGTGTCACCGAAGCCACGTAGATCTGGAGCAACAGCGTGGTATCCTCGGGAAGCAAGAGCCAGAATCTGGTGGCGCCAGGAGTACCAGAGTTCAGGGAAGCCATGGAGGAACAAAACCACGGGACCCTCTCCTTTCTCTGCTACATGCATTTTTATGCCATTCACTTCCACTGTTCTGTGTACCACGCCTTCCATCTCACTCACCTCTATCTTCCACCGGACAAGCGAGAGTGCCCACAAAATGAAAGATCTTCGGTTTTAAGCGTTCTTGGATTCTACCCACCCGATGCAGAAATTCACTCTAAGGATGAGCTGTCAATTCTTTTACTTTTCATTTTTTTTTCTTTTTTCTTTTATTTTAATTAAATTGTACTATTCCTTTTTTATATATACTTGACTTTTTTTTAATCTTTTTAATCAGTTTATTTTTTTAATTTCTCAATAAATTTAATAAGTATAAATTAATTCTTTTTTATTTTTTTAATATTTCAAAACTAACATTATTTTATTTTTAATTTATTTTTATTAAATTTATTATATTATATTTTTAAATTTTATTATTTCATATATTATTTTTTTAATAAAATAATTGTATTTAAATGAATTAAAAAGAATTAATAATAATATTATTATTATTATTATTGTGATAAGTATTTTATATTGATTAAATATTTTTTTACATATATATTTAATTAATAATAATTAAAAATGTACAATTATAAATATTATTTTTATATAAAAAATACATTAAAAATATTAAAATTAATTTATCATATATAATTATTTTTTAAAAGATAATATCCGAAATCCTATATGACAAAGATAGAACTTAATTTTAAAATCCGAGGATGGGGACCTGAAAGTGTAATGTGGTGGTGGTACAGAATAGGAGGCAGTTTGTTGCATGCATGCAACAACCATGAATGCAAAGGTGTTTCCTTCTTTATTTTTAAAAAGTATTATTTAACAATATAAACAACCAATTCACCTCCTAAACGTAATATTACATAATATTATTATTCTCATTATCAAATCATTATGCATGCAGGAAAGCAGTTGTTACCATTTATTTAGTTGGAGGCTGGTTTCCCCTTTAACAACTGAATGGATTGAGTTTTTAATTTATGTCTCAGATTTTTTAATAACAATTCTATGATATAATGTTATCCATTAAAGTTCACCACTAATTTCAAATAAAACATAATTATTCTCTTAGAAACACTTATCACACATGATGTGGTCCAATTCAGATTTCGTCGACACATAATTCAGTAGTCAATATCAACATCTTTTTGTATGATTTTTTCACGTGTCAGATAATCAAAAAGTATTCTGTCAAAGTTAGTTCATCTTTTAGAAAACTTGAGATTTGTTTATCTTGGATTTCTAAAAAATGTTAGGAAAATGAATTCTTTAGATGAATTCCGTGTAACACATTTCACACGTCAAATGACTTATTCAAAGAGTATCTTGTAAGTTTTCAATCACTTTAATTCAAATTTCTCACTTTTTTTTATCGTTTTCTTTATATTTTTATAAAGACTATAATAAATAATAAGGTTGATAATTTCAGAAGATGAACTTAGACATATTGATTTGAATCATTATTGTGGGTTTAGGGTTAATAAATATCATTATTTTAAGATACTATTTGATAATTTGATAATTTGCACTAATAGGTATTAAGATACTATAATATCATTATTTTAAGAAAATAAATATATTATAATTACATTAATTAATTTAAAATAAATATTATTAGTCTTATAGATTTTTTAAATCTTGATTACAATATTTTTTTATTAATTTAATTAATAAAATAATATATTATCAATAAATAAATATAAAAATATAAAAAGATAGAAAAATAAAATTGTAATCATACAATATTATTAAGATAAATTATAAAATTTTGAGAATAGACCTCGTAGCTTAAAAAAATCCTCACTCTTAATAATTATAATAATTTTAAATTTATAATATGGTTGAAACAATAATAAAAGCACCACACCATTTCTACGTATCTTTGCTCCAAATCATAAGGCAAAGTAAGTTTATGTTTAGGGACATGTTTCTACAGCCACTTCAAAGACTAGCGTATACAATCGAAACCATATAAAAAAAAAAAAAAAATTGCACCAACGAAACCTACAAAAGTTTTATATTTATTATATTCTCTCTGTATATGAACAGGATTTTTCATTAAAATTGACCGATACGAATAAATATTAAAAAATTACAAATTTAAATAATAAAAAATTATATTTCATAAAAATAGTTGTATTTTATAAACAATTAAAATTTTTCCTTTTAAATTTAGGAAAAAGTTGTATTAAATATTATGACGTTATTTATTATATTATAATAATAATAAGTATGATTATAATTAATAATAATATTTATATTATTAATAATAAAAAATATTTATATTGTTAAATACAAATATATTTTGTATTTATTTTATTATTAATTATAATTAAAATAATTTTAAAAAATAAACTGATATACTGATGTCTTTTCAGAAATCAATCTTCAGATTTTAAAAATAGATTTGGTTTTGTTTTGTAAATTTATGACATGAGTTTTACGTTCCATGTGTTTTGTGTTTTTTTTTTATGTATTTTATATAGTAATTTAATGTTCCAAATGTCTATGTGTGTGATTGAGATATCATATAGTTTTATTAAATATATATATATATATATATATAATAATTAAATATATTAAATTTATTATTATAAGTTATAATAATATTAAATTATTTTTATAATATAATTATAATAATTATTAAAATATTAATTAGATTAGTGTAATTTTTATTATTTTATTATTATAAATAATAATAATAATAAAATTAATTATATAATTTAATTATTATTATTATTAAAAATAATAATAAGAATATTTATATTATTAATATAATTAATAATATGATAATAATACTAATAATTATAATTTATTATTTTTATTATTATTATTATTATTATTATTTATTTTATTAATATTATAAAAAATACTATTATCAATTATGATAATATAATAATTATTATAAAGTAATAAATAGAAGTCGTATTAATATATAAAAATTGTATTAAATAGTTCTATTTTTTTTCGTAAATCTAAAAAAAAATGAAATCATATTATAAAGCATCAAACTCTTTTTTTTTAATTCGTGTTTCACAACTTATTTAAATTTATATTTTTTTAAAATTGATCTATAAATCTAAAAAAATTAATTAAAAATATATTTATAAACACGATTTTTTTTAATTTTGAATTTGTACTTCACCGCTTATTTAAATTCGTAATTCTCTAAAATTCATCCATATCCGTTAATTTAAAATAAAATAAAATAAACCATTTTGATAAAAAAAACATAAAAAGACATATTTTACTTCCAAATACAAACATTTAAGATAGATGTATTGATGAGAAAACGTGTAACAGACTTGTACTTTTACACACAAGCTGCAAGATTTATTCATAACCTTAACGAAAACAATACTTTGACAACCAGAAAAAAGAACATCCGTTTGACAATTGGGTCAAAAATAAATTAATTAAAAATAAGAATTTAATTATTAAATTATAAGGGTCAGATATGTAATATTGTAAAAATGGAAGGATGATATTGTAAAAAGTGAAATATATGTTTTCATTACAGTATTTTTTGCTCGACTTCCTCTCGCTCGACCTCGCTCGACTTCCTCTCGCTTGACTTATGGTAACTTTTCGCTTGTCTTCTCCGTCTCGCTCTTCACGACGCTCGACTTCCTTTCACTTGTCTTCCTTCGTGTCGTTCGAGCTGAACATCACTATCTCTCGCTTGAGCGACCCTGCGGTGAGTGTTCGTGCTACTCCATTTGCTTGATTTTCTGTGTATTTTTTATTGGGTTTCCATTCTTGTTTTCTTTTCTATTTATCTTTGATTGAGTTTGTAACGAAGGTGTTTTTCAGGGTTTAGGGTTAATTGAGTTGTGATGCTATATTAATGTCGAACAAGTGTTTGATGAAATGCTACAATGAAGAATTGTATTTGCACATTCTTGCTTTGTTTTATGTTTATCTTTGATTAGGTTTGTAATGAAAATATTCTTCGGGGTTTAGGGTTAATTGAGTTGTGATGCTATATTAATGTCGAACAAGTGTTTGATGAAATGCTACAATGAAGAATTGTATTTGCGCATTTTTGCTTTGTTTTCTGTTTATCTTTGATTGAGTTTGTAATGAAAGTATTCTTCAGGGTTTAGGGTTAATTGAGTTGTGATGCTATATTAATGTCCAACAAGTGTTTGATGAAATGCTACAATGAAGAATTGTATTTGCATCACAAACCTTTTGTATAATATGCACAAGATTTACACACACGTTTGCATAATACACAATTTCACCAAAATTATGTGTAACATGCTTGGACTTAATTTTTTTTTTACTATTTTGTCATTGTAAGTTTAATTTTAATAATTTGTAACAGGAATAATTTGGGAAAAAATGTTTGCAAAAAAAGACCGTCGTGACGAGAAAAAGGTATGTGCATGTTAATTATAGTTATTTTATGAAAAGTGATTTACTAAATATTTGATTTGTTATATGTTATGTATGTTATATATGTTATATGTGCAGATAAGATTAAGACACAAGATTTCAAAGTTGACTAAACACCAACGAGCATCTATTAAAGAAACTCCGTTTAAATGGCTTCTTCAAATAAAAGAGTAATTGCAAATATCTAGCAATGTTATAAGAGAACTAGCTAGTCGATAGTCAGTTAGTGATCATTGTTTTAGAATAAAACAATATCTTGTCTCATTCACCCCTTTAGATGTTTGTTTTTCGTTAGGTTTACGTATAAGGGGAGAGGTAGTTGTTTTAGAAGATAGTGGTTCATGTTTAGTAAAAGATTTGTTCGACGAAGAAGAACCAATAACAGTAACAAATATAGTTAGGAAGCTGAAAGGAAAAAAAATTAAGCATGTTAAATATGTAGTTGACTTTTATAGGCTTTATATCTTACTTGGGTGGACGATTTTTTACTTTCCTCGCACATCCTGCACTGTTCATAGTGTTCCTTTTAGTTTATTAGATGATTTAGAGACATTAGATAATTATAATTGGAGAAATGTTGTGCACGGTTTATTAGTTAATAGTTTGCATCGTGCTAGTACAAAGTTAAACGAGCAAAAGAATGTTTCTCA